TTACGTTCGAGAAGTATAAAATATCATTAATCAAGGAATCAGATACATCAGAGAATTGTGAGGAAATGTTTTAAGCGCGATATAAGTTTGTTCGCAAATGACACCGCTCAAGAAAAGGCTGTTGCAGACGCTAATAATAGATTGTTTCATTTGGATCAAAAGTGACACTTTGTTTGACAAGCGAAAGCAAAATTTGCGAGTCAAACAAAGTCACATTTGATCCGAATGAAACATTCTATTTCTTCTTCAACCGAAACAATTAACTCAAATAAAATATATGAAGTAACCTCCAATGCCGTGCCATATGTATGCAATGCATCAGAAAAAACGGTTTGGTGAGAATATTCTACTGGAATTAACAGCAGGCTTATTCAATTTTCAAGGATGTTCGAATTGTGGTTTCAATATAAATACAACAAGAGAGTGACATATTTGTGTATGGGCCATGATTTCTATCCATACTCCACTGTGTTTGGCTTGATAGTCAAATTGAGGTTAAAAATATTGTTGTTTGAGACAAAAAACTATTGCTGGCGGTGATTATTCAAAAACAAGTTATCCATCAATCCATCCCGAGAATAACGAATGGAATACAGATCAAGCAAATGTGTGAATCTGGAAGACTTCCCTGATCGAAAAAAAAATACTTAACTATGATAAGGTGTATTTATATCTCCAGCATGTCACAAACCGGATTCTCAAACCTTTTTTGTGTTAATAGGTTGTCAGACAGTTGGCATTCATTCAACTTTTGATTACATCTGGCATATCTTGAGTGAGCTATCATTAGGCTAAACTTGGTTTCCCTGGTGTATTCACTGGTTGACTTGTTGCATTTTTGACAATCCAGACTACTGAGTGACATGTTAGTTCTCATCAGACCAACAGAACATTCGCACCTTAGGGACTTGGTTATCTTTTCCCGATTTCATATTGTTTATCTTCACTAATTGTTTCATAACAATAAACATTCGTGATTATTCCTTTGACACATGCCATGTCTTGGATGTCATGTCATGCATGTCAACTTCAAATTTGCCTCCATTATTCCAGTACGTTCAATGACAATAAAACCAAGGTCCGTCACTCATCAAGTTCACTTCAACACGACATGTCGCAGCGACAATGGCTGATTAACAAAATGTAAACTGTATTTTATCCCCTTTTGGAAAACACATTTTGATATGTTTGTACCGTATTTTACCATAATGTCGATATTTTTAAACGAGTAAGTAACTTACCTTTTATCAATTTCCAAATTCGTATTTAACTGTTTCCAATTTTCGATTTCATGATAATATCTTTTCCAAAATCAAGAGTTCATCAACAAGTAACAAGTCACCAATTCAATGTAACTTTTTTCAATATGAAATTTTCAAAAAACAAAAATTGTTTTCAAACAAATTTTTCAAATTTCCAATTTCTTTCCAATAGCTAAAAGCAGATTACTTACTTACAGGTATGCACTGATGATGACTTAACAGTCGAAAGCGCTCTGCTACGAATAATAAATTTGAATAAATTATCTTGCACGAAATACAACACCCCTTCATTGGTGGGCATAAATTGTCAAATCTGCCGAAATCGGAAACAAATCAGGTATGCGTCCTGACCCAAATAACCAACCGTAACTCATGACTCATGTTGAGATATGAGATGGGTTATTCGATAACCCATCCATTATCATAACCTGAATTTACGAATTTACTACGCATTCTTCATCTCCAGAACTCTGTCTGGTGCCTGCCCTGCACTGACTAGAGTCAATAGCCTCTATCCAGTTGTAACGTTGTTTTCATTTGCTAATATAACTTACCTATATCAAACGTTACCTTTTTCATGGTATTTCCTACTAAAACACTAGAGAAACTCTGTAGATATACACTGTCGAATTTGACATTTCCTTATATCAAATTGGTAATTTTGGAACTTTTCTGTGAATTCAATTTTGTGATCTATCAGGATAGCAAATTTGAAAATCCGCGCCCATATGCCGCCGATGAAAAGCTGCCGGCGCAGTGTAATTGTATAAAATACGTTACACAGTCTGCTGAGGGTTAGGCATTCCTGTCTCAATTCAAGCAACATTGGGCATTCATGAAAAACACTTGCATTCATTCTTATATATTATGAGAAATACACAGCTGAGAATTTTCGGAAAATAACTACAGTATCGTTACTATCAAATCAGGTAGCATATCTGTGAGTAATTTCGAAATTATTTTCACTGAATCTTCAAGCGGTTTTTGGAGTAATGAGTGACTAGAATATGGGAGTGTAATGCATCTTTTCTCTTGAAATTTCTGTTGCAAAACTGACAATTAAATGTAGGCTTTTTGCCGCACTCATATAGAATGTGTCTTTTCAGTGTTTGCCTGTGGAGATAGTTTCTGCCACAACGAATGCACGTATGCCGAGTATCTGAAATAGAAATATTAGCATATTAGTGCTTTCTTTATCGAATTCCTGATGACACTGCACATAAAAACTGTAATTACCATACTGAAAACTGAAAACTAAATACTCACGAGCAACTCGATCAAACTAAATATAGACAACTAAATCATTCGATTTCTGCTAGTACATACATATATACAGGATGATTCATTATGAATGGGCAGTCTATCTGCCTCTGTCTCAACACCGAAATAAGAAGATTTAGTCCACAATGCCTCTAAAAAATTTTACTATACCTATAGTGTAGGAGAAACAGGAAAACCATCAAATTTGAAATTCTGCTTGTTGTAAGTGTAGTTGGTGATTGTCATCATTCATTACTGTAATTTTTTAAGTGTACTTCGCTCACTCCATAATTGAAAATAATTGAAATATTGAGAAAGAAACACAGATCTTTTGAGCAAATTACCCAAAAACTTTATGAGAGAAAATTTAAAAAAGTTTTAATAAAAAATCTAACGGGCTTTCAGATTTACCACTTATATCAACAATTAATCTATAGACAAAGAAGATATGATGTGATTAACTGAAGTAACAGGGTACTACTAGCGCCCTCTATCAGCATTAACAAAATGAACTACAATTTCGTAATCCTCATGTCATAAAACCTGAAACTACTAAATATAATGTTCATGCTGTTAAAACTTACGAAGTTATTGAGAAATTTTGGAATACAATTTTCCCCTTGAACACACTGTATCTAAATCAGCAACATTTAGTCATGTTAGAATGAATCTTCTAATTTTGGTGTTTACTATTTGTACTAAGTTCAGAGATCGCCCATTGCTGATGAATCACCCTGTATATTCTACTGAACATCCGAATATGTAAAATGATCACGAAAATATTCGATGTTGAATTCACACGGAAAAGAGACTAAATGAATCAAGAAAATATTTGGTCCTATATCGACGACAAAATATCTTGTTTCTGTGACAAAATTTTTGTCCGTATAATAAAATACTCGATAAAATATTCATTTTTCATAATTTTGGATATCAATTAGATATTAATCGATATTCACTGACACCTTGTTTGAAACAGGACACAGTTATATTGAAAAATATCAAGTATCACTTATCTCTTGTCGTTCAAATTCCAAAATTGTCTCTGGTTTTCTGGATTGACACTTTTCAGCGAGCTTGAATTCACCATTATTATATTTGCACTAATTATCATAGTATGTTTGAACAAACCACTTTCATCACTTTCTTTCGTATTCACTTCCGGCTACACATTGAAACTATTTTGTAGAGAACATGACTTCACTAGTGTCAATGTTGACTAGACTATAGAACAGCTAGCACACCTAAGTTATTTTCATGTTGGTATGGGCAAAGGGAAATGACAACCGACCCTTTTTGTTTCTTTACCTTGATACCTCTGACATAAAAACCACCCTAATATTCTCATCTTGTATATACCAATCAATGGGACGAGAGCCAGAATAAAGTATATGTAAAGGTAGGTAACGGTCTTGTTGAGTTAGTTGAAAGGTGAATTAGGGTGTACAGTCAGGCTGATGTGTACAGGGTGTCTCTTTTTGTATTTTTCACATCACATTAGGATTCTACCAAGGCAAAAACATAATCTCTTTTCAGAAAATCTTCAACTTCTTAAACTGAAATTATCTTTTTCATCATGACGATGGCCAGTTTCGGTTTCCTGAATGCCAATTTCATGTTGTTATGGCCATATTCAATTGATTTGAAAGCAAAAACGTTGGTCTTGGTTGCCATCAAATGGAAAGTGACTTTATGAAAACTTTCAAACTTCCTCAAAATGCATATTATTATACCAAGTTATCTCCCTCTTAATCTCATCCTCAACAGTTTACCAAATAACTAAAGACACTATATGTACTTAAATGACAGATACATAATGTTGGCACCCACTGTTTTAAGTGCTGAAAGTACATTAAAAACTGGAGTTGATAATATCCATAACCTCGATTCAGGAAATAAATAAGAAGGGAGACTTACCCCGCTGGAAAGGGTTCATAGATTTTGGTTTTCCTGCAATACCTTCTGGAATATCTAATTTATTTTTCTGAGTTGGATAAAGTAATTCTGGACACCAGTTTGAATACAATCATACAGACGACTCAATTGGAATTAATCTGAAACTTGAGTGACTTCCTGAAATTTTTTTAATTGATATTTATAACCCCCTTCTTCAAAGGAATATATCCCCCACATCGGATATCAATATCTGGAAATGAGTTCGCGGAAACAATCAACATGTCCTAAAGAATGATAACGAATAGTAAAAACTCTCGAAACTGATTTCGTAGAAATAAATGTCAATGAAAAACAAAGCAAATATCAACAGGATTTTATTGCACCTGAAGTGTCTTCACTTCAAGTCTTTCCATCATCTACCCCAATTTTCTAATATTTTATTAACTATCACAATGAAATAAAGGTATTCGACCAAAATTCTTCAAAACATGTTCAAATGTTTCTTCAGATACCTATTCAGATTTTTCTGCCGGTCAATAAGTTTCCTATAAACCGACTGAGACCCATCTCCTATCACTTCACCATTTTCATCAAGTTCTCGAAAAGTCAACGGAAACCTCGAGATGATTTGTTTGGTGACCATCTTCGAGGCTTGCGACTGAGAGGCGAAGCAACTCTTGCTCTCTCGCATCTTATTCACCACCCCGTGTATAATGATAGTGATGAGCCTTTTATCCCGATTGCCCTGTTCGCAAGCCATCAGGATGTTACGCGAGAATATTTCTTCCCAGGGAATCTTGAACTTGCAGAGGCAATTGGAACTGTCTTCTTCATTGTGGCGGTGACCAGTGTTGGGTTCTTTGGATCCAAGGTCCATGTTGTTTTGGGCATATCCGAATGATTCATCGATGGTATCGTAGGTGTCTTGTTCGGAATTGGGTTTTGTACTATTAGGCGGGTCGTACTTTGGTTTTTTCCATTCCTCCCCGGGTTGCAGGAGAATTAAAATTTCGTACTTGATCAACTTTAGTACTTCATCTTCATCGATTTTCGTTCCGTCACTCTCTAGTACCAGTTCTGTGCCAAGGATCTTCAGTTTTTCTGATGCTGTAATAGTTATTCCATATGGTGAAAAAAAGATATGTGCCACTTCTGTAGGTTCTAACTGGTTCAAGATGAGATTCTGAAATTTCTACAGATTCAAATATGCTACATTTTCTTTTTGGAGGGTTCAGAAGTCAATCACTGTGGGTCAAATTTATCTTTGAAATGACTTATCTTTGAAATGATGACCATATATGACAGCACCTATACTGATGTCTAAAGGTTGCCTCGATCAGCAACCACGAATGGCTGCACAAGCTAGAAGTTCTTTGAAAACAGATATAATTTCTCTGAGTAAAAATGTATGTGTTTACTTTTGATTTTGGAATAAGCTTTGGCATTTTCAAAACTGAGAATATCTGTTGCCCATTATGGATTAAACATGTACCTTCAGAGCTTATGAGTTCATAGTAAATGATAATGAAGGCTTCATGTTCATATGGGATGAAACTGAGAGCTCTCGGAGTTCGCAAGAAGTTGCAGCTTGTAATCTGGCAAGCTGTCAACCTTGACCATCATGACCATCATGTATTCAGATTCTTGCACTGAACAAAATATAGGAATATCAAATCGAGTTTATCGCTGGGAAAGCTATACTGCAAGAACAAAAAGCAATAATGAACGGGGTAAGGTCAACTGGTTGAAGATGAAATGACTAAGATAATGCCAAGATGAACCACATTCCTATTTCGACATAAAAAATCTATGAATCAAGAATATTCCTTCTTTGATATCAATATTGAGGGATTTTCAAAAGGTAGACCAACTTGTGGAAAATTGATCAGGATTAACTGCATCCAGATCGTTGACCTATCAAAGAAGTGAATGAGATGCACAAGCTCGATCTCTTGCCATATATTCTCATCATCATGAATTTCAGAGAAATTTGCCTAAAATGAACGAGAGAACAAGAGCCTCAACTTTGATAGCAAATGAAGTTACTGATGATAGTGACAGTGTTGCATTTGTAGAATAATTCCATGAAAATTTCCAGTGGACCAATAAACTTACCTGAGTCGTTTCGTTTCTCCACAAAATGACATGTGGAGAAACAAGTTACTCAGTAACTGTGGTTTCCACAAAAATTGAAAGTTTGTTTGAACCCACATAAGAAATGGTATTTTTAATTTGTGAATGATTTGTAAATATCCATTTATCTCTTCTCGAACACTCATTGACTTTTGAACCCTCCATTCATTGATGCCAGTTTGTTTCATGGAATCACTTCTGGTGTGACCAGAAATAATCTCGAATGTGAACCACTTAATTTTCTTGAATTTTAGGATTCAGGAGATCTTTTCACATATTATAGCAGGATCATTTTGGGTCAAAAATCGAAATAAATTCATATATTATTTTCAGGTGGTAGGTATAGTTCGCCATAGAATATAATTGGTTTTTTTTCATGATGAAACTTCAAATACCTACCTGATGATATTTCAGGATCATTTTGCTTGGGATCAGCTCATGAATTCAGGATAATTATATTTTCAAGAAAAGAAAACAATGTAACGTCATTTCATTCCTAATGATGAATAGTTTTCCACAAGTTCAATGTTGCCACACATTTTTGAACAATCGATATGAATATCGGGTTGAGAATATAGTAACAAAAAACAAAACTACAAAGCCAACTATAGATAAAATGAGAATAATTGAATAAAAGAAACACATAAGGTGTTACATTTGAAACTCAGAAGTCGAAGACTGTTGGCAGAGCTGAAATTATCTCAATAAACGAAATAACACCAATTAACGCAATATTTCAGGTAATTTCATCAGGCAAAATCTCAAAATTATACCTATATCTTGAACCTCTGAGACGTTACATGGGTGGGAATTCACATTAACATACGAAAAATAATTCAGTCAGTTATCTCTTTACTAAAAAGGGCATCATATTACATGAGAAGACACTGTTGGCAGAGCTGAAATTATCTCAATAAACAAAATAACATCAATGAACCCAATATGTTAGGTAATTTTGTCAGGCGAAATCTCAAAATTCTACCTATATCTTGAACCTCTGAGAAGTTACATGGGTGGTGGATTCACATCAACATAGGAAAAATAATTCAGTCAGTTATCTCTTCACTGAAAAAGGCATCATATTACATGAGAAATTTAAAACACATCATGAGGTTTTCGTAAGTCAACCCGTCGATACTTTTTTGTATCCAAATTGATATGACTATCAGATTTGGGACTTTGGGAAAGAAGCGTTGTTGAGGTTAAAAATGACCATTTCATTCTCGAATATGTTTTGTGCTGAATTGTTTGTCAGACAGATACATTTCTTCAACTTTTGATTACATCTGGGTTGACTTGAGTGAGCTCACATTAGGCTCAACTGGGTTTTGCCTGGTGTATTGACTTGTTGAATTTTTGATAATTCAGATTACTGGGTGAGTTGTTAGTCAGGTTCTCATTAGACCAGTACAATAATTATTGCTCCTTGGGAATCTAGTTGTCTAATCCCCTTTTCAATATTGTTCTATAACAATAATAAAAATGTTTTACAATTTCTCTGACATATTTCATGTCTTGTATGTCATGTCAAATGTCGATTTCAAATTTGCTTTCATTATTCCAATTCTTTCTGTCACTTATCAAGTTCACTTCCACAAGACAGTATGCCACAACCATAATGGCTGTTTACGAAAAGTATCTGCATATTATCCCATTTTGGGAAACTTTCACTAACTTTCAAATTTGAATTTGAATTTTCCTCAGAAAATAAATTTGCGACGATGCGGAATCCCAAGCCAATTTCTGAACGAAACAGAGACATAGAAAGTATATAAAGATTATGAAATATGTGTTCGATACCTGCATGATGCGTGATCGGAACTAGTGATGGGAAATATGAACATAGTAAGGGAAAAATTATTGTATTATGAATAATGAATGAAGCAAATATGAATAAAAAGTTTCGACTATATAAAAGTAGAATCTGAATTTCTTGACTCAATGAGAGTTGTTTTTTCAAAAGGACTGTTTCAGTGGATCCACATTCGGAAATGTGTGTGGAAGTAGCTTTCCAAATGGAATTCTGAAACATATTTTTTTCGTATGTTGATGAGCATCTTGATGCATGAACATACAAACCTTTGGTTATGAGCCTCAGGAGCAGGTTTTCTTCTGACTCTCTCATGGTAACAATCGTCTTCTTGTGTCTTGTACTGTTCCAGATTTTGAAAACTAATTTATCAGAACTTTGTGCTGGAAAGATATTCATTTTTCATTTATTTCATGGTTATAAGTGTATATAAGAACATATATTTTGTCATTTCTTTATTCGAATGATAAATATGTGATGAAAATATCAATTCTTTCTCGGTCTATACAACAGAAAACAGGAAAGTAGTTGTTTTCTGTTGAATAGACCGAGAAAGATTTGATATTTTCATCACATAGAGAATGCGAATACTCAATGTATTTCTCAATATATGTACATCCCTTTTTTATTTTTTTTATGTTCATGATTCATCTGAGAATATTCATTTTCAAATACTATTTAATTCATCATCAAATGGATAATTATTGCCGTATTTACTGAGTTCGGACAAGAATCAAATATGAGGTATGATCTTCTTTTGAAGATTCTTAAACAGATCATAAGAAATAATTGGTTTACTGAGTGGTACAACAGTGACATTATATCATTGCTTCTAATAAAACAATCGTTGAAAGTTGAAATAGTGACCTCAACATAATACGTTTCACTCACGCCCTCTTCAGTGGTTAGTTGAATGTATTTCGTGAAGAAGAGGGGGGTATACCATGAGTCTGTCTCCCCGGTATAATATCTCGAATAAAATCAGTGAAAGTAATTGTTTATGTTTTCACAAGTTGAAGATCGAGTTGAAGACCATGCATTAAAAACTCTATCACAATTTCATCGCTTTCTTGTATTTGTTGTTGTAATAGTGTTGAAAGAGTAATTTCTCCGCACTATTGAAATATTTCTCTTGGTTCTCACGATGTTCTCTGAACATTACAGGACATCCCTTTTCGTGGGAACCAGAACATAAAAAAATCTTCCAGCACAATTGCAAATCGTGTCAGTTTGACAGAATAATTTTCCCGCCTCGCGGTCGGCCCGAATATTTTGAAGTATCTACAGTACTTACAGTACTTATACTACACTGAGTATAATCAGCGTAGTTATGAATTTTTGTACTTATATCGTATAGTTTCAACTTTCGGTTATGATAGGTATATTAAGTGGAATACTTCCCAGTTTCACAACTCCAAGTCAAGGCAATTTAAAGAATGTAGTTTCCATGCTGCTTTTTTTCATGATCCCACCACAATATAATTAAGATCGATTCTGACAATAAATTCACGAAAATTTCATCCGTAGATTCATGATTTTGTATTTTTGTAACCCTTGAGAAACTCCAATGAATACCTATTTACATCAATATTCAATCCAAGCCCACAAAATCAGTATAAGGACCATGTTTATAACGATAATGGTATTTCAAAGCACCAATCGACTTGTAACTCTTATTTGGACAGAATCGACAGCTGAAGATTCTGGTTCTGCTACACCCATGTGTCAAATGCTTACTCAGGGAGCATTTGAAATCAAATATTCTGTCACATTCGGCACACTGGAATGTTGTACCTAAAATTGAAGTAGCCTTACAGTTTCAGTCCTATATACAAATGTAAAAACTTCACAAACGATAAGACTTCCACAAAATTCTAAAACACACGACATGTTTCGCTAGTAGTTTCGTTAGCTGATAAACTGGTACAATGAACTAAACTAACGTTGGCTTACTTAACTTTTATCACAGAGTTGGATATTCTGTGCTTTTATATCCTACGTTCCGAACCTAAAGAATTAGTTACCTGTGGACAGGTACGATAAACCTCCATTTTCGGAAATTAGGCACAATATCTACATTAAAAGACGGTCTACTGGATTAACTTGAAAGAGTTGATAGCAAATACATATTATTACTAACTAATGAAACAAATTCAACAGTGGTGAACTATTGAGGTCTAATTGATCGTTGAGTAAAATGTCAGCATTTTTGAGTTTTTTGATTTCTAATCCTTTATTTTCTATGTGTGGAATTTCGAAATTATCATCAAAACTATGGTTTTCTTCTAATATATGGTTGGCGTATGATGAATTTGTTTTTTTTTTCATAAAATGCATCCTATGTTCATGAATGCGCTTATTAAACGTACGACCTGTCTGACCGATATATACCTCAAGACAAGATCCACAGTTGAATTTTTATACCCCTGATTTTTCGAATTTAAAAGTTGTGTCTTCATTATTCTTGATAAACCGTCCCAATGTGTTATTTGTTCTATATGCCACTTTTAAGTCCTGTTTATGTAGAAATGAAGATGATTTTTCTTCTTCTAGGAAATAACAACCTTACCAAATTTAAAATTGATAACATCAATAGTGAGATATTTTGATTGATATAAATAAATTATTAATCTTTGACCTCGTGTAGCTTTGCTACTGATCGAGATCGGGCTTATGTATATAAAGACTTTTTTGATTAAAATGATGAGATTTATCACACATTTCAATTTGTGCCTCAAAACTTGAATCACCTTGTATACTCCATTGAGGTTTGCAATGAGTGGGATTTGTCGAGATGATATGAAATGAATCGCAAAAAACTCAAACTTCAACCACATCACATCTTTCAAGTATTATTGAATTCTAGCAACATTGCAAAATTCACTCATATTTCTGTTGCTTCAAACTTCAATATCTCGCAAATATTCTTTCCTTCACTTCAATGTTGTATACTTACTTATTTCAATTTCTCCCAGAGGAAAGTCGATATAATAAATTCATTTTTTATTTTTCAATTTGGCTTGAAATGAAACTCAATGATATAACTGAACTATAACCTTCATTTAGAATTTGAAAAATGTAACAATCAGTAGCTCAATTTCAATTAACTTGAATTTGTAGCCTTTTTTTCTATCTGAAATATATTTGTTTCTCTTTTTCCTTCAGTATTTTAGCACGGTTCTTTAAACGCTGATATCGTAGTCTCTCAGCTTGTCTCTTCTTTTCTAATCTTTCCTCTCGAGTTTGTTTTTTTTTACGTCGGCCATCGATTTGCCACGTTTCTGAGTCATATTGTACATGCCGCCGAGAGGTAGCTGAAATGAAACAAAATAATATGAACTACGAAAAAGGAAAAATGGAATGGAACTGTTGAATAAATATGCATAGCTCAAAGTAATTTCCACAAATGTTTGTAAATAAACGAAACTGATAGATAGCTATGAAAAACAACTACTTTCCTGGCTGTATGCCACGCCGAACATTGAATGAGTTCCTCCCAAAATCCATGCAACGATTCTTATAGACGAATAAGATCGCAATTTTTTCCTTTCTAAATGCTGAAGTGTGCTCAAATCGTTCAGGCACGCTTGACTACATACAGACCAGTATATATCGAGCTTCTGGCTCTCATCAATGCAGGGGTGTCCCCAGATGGCGTTCATGGCCGCTCTCTGGTGCGAACCACTAGGAGATCGACACGAACGCCACCTAGGGTAGAAGAAAAGAAACACTCCAAAACAAATTCCATTTCAGATGGAATAAAAGTGGCTCTTTGCCCGACTGGCTCAATTTCAACTACGAAGAAGCCAAATTGGTCGAAGTGGAATGAAATTAATGAATTACATCCTCCGGAAATCTATGCAACGATTCGGGAAGATGTTTTTCAATGTCGTGCACGCCAAGAAAGTTGTTGTTTTTCTCTCGTTTACTACCAGTTTCGTTCATTTTTTTTTCTGTTTTGGTTCCCACGAAAAGGGATATTCTGTAATGTTCAGAGAACATCGTGAGAACCAAGGGAAATGAGGTAGGCATTGGTGTTCTTCTTACATTTTTGAAGGTTATATGCCTCGGGAACATTTGTCGAAATGACTTTGAGCTATGAATAATTATTCAAGATAATATGAGATGAAAATCAATTTGAGCCAACGCTATTCAAATGTAATTTACCTGGCTTCAAGGTATTTTCTAGAGTAAACCCAAAACACAATGGAAGACAACTTGGGAACGAAAACATGGAAACGACAACTTCTAACATCAAATGAAACAAAAGAAAGTACGAAACCCAAGATTGAATATATCGAATTGATTGAGAATTGTGTGCCCATACAGTTTGTAATTTTTCAATATCGAAATACTGTCCCATTGTTTCACTGGAAAGTGTGAAAAAGTACGTCATTCAGCATTAAACCGTGATATGTTTTACTAATTACTCAAACAAAACCAGATATGATTGGAAATGTATAGAAAATATATTGATTTAAATAACGAAAGGAAAGAGACACAATGAAATGGGGAGATATCCTCATCAACTTCATATCGTGGTATCTGAAAACATTGTATCCAAGGCAAGAACATTGGAATATAAACTGTGACATCTGATATAATGCTTCTTCAAAGTGATATTCTGCGTATAAGCCTTATTCGGACAAAATCGACAAATGAACTGGGGTGTTTTTCCACATTCGTATTTCATATGCCTGCTCAGTGTATATGAGTATTTATATCTCTTATCACAGTTTCGACACTGGAACGTTGTACCTGAAATAATATAGAAGCGATAATTACCGTATTTCTTCGCAGGAGTACTCAGACTTCTAAGGCGTTGTGATCTACCAGAGATTTGAAGTTACTTTGAATCCTTAACGATTCGAAGTAAATTTCTTTGCAATGAAAGTTGAATTTAGAAATATATTTTCAAAATGTCTGTCGCAATTGTGGCTTTCATCATCGAATATACGCTCCACAATGACGATGCTTCATGCTTTTTAAACTTTTCGGAGAAATATGCTATAGCAGTACATTTTCCTACGTTCCGTTCTTTGCACCATTTGATAAACTCAGAAAATCGTTCAAAATATTGTTCTTCAGATTTCCTTGGTAATTATTGACCTTCAGCCTTATGAGCAGCCTTCTCGATTTGTTCCATCGCGATCAACGTCTTTCAATCGGTGTGGCGTGTTTGACTTATATTATTTACTTATGTTTCACATGGTTACTTGTCATAGCACACCAAGATTTTCAGTTGCCGATGACATTCATGATCTGGATCACCATAGTTACTGAGGTCGTTGATATGATAACAATCCATTTTTTTTTGTGTTCATAAATATATCTGAGAATATTCCTTTTCAATAACTATATACCGTTTAGTAGCATTCACATTCTTCAATTTTTTTTTC